TTATAATGGTTCAAATAAAATTAATTTTAGATCTGTATCTAACTTTTTAGATACTTTAGCAAAATTTTTTCCATGCAACGGAAAAAGCAATTTTGCTGTAATATCTAAAAATTTAGCTAGATACCAATCGGAAAATAATTTTGTAAAATTTTTAACACAATATAAGAAATTCAAGCATAATTAACGCTGTACAAATTTTGAAGCAAACCAACTTGAATCTTACATAATTATTTTCATAATTCAGCAAAATTATTTTCAGATCCGTGTACTTAATAAAACTTCAATTAAATTCAACAAAACCGTTTTTTTTTCTATATAGAACATATATAACGTTCCAATAATGTAAACATCTAACGCAAAATTTTATATACGATAAGTTCGACAATCCCTCCGCCATTCATAGATCGTCTTCCATCGACTGATCCTTATAACGTGATCGGGTTATTTTGTGGAATTTCTCGAGTAGAGAGCGAGCGACGTCCATAATCCGGGCTTATGGCCCACGAGATGCCTAGACACGCTTTAATGTGATTTAAACCCACCGCCTTGTTGCTCGAGCTACCGTATTACGATCGTCGGACTTTTCTCTTCGCCGGCTCTTCTGTCGCTGGACTGGACCATCCATGCGGCAGCAGTCCTTGAAGAGAGATCGCGGTAATAGGAGGAAGAGGGAAAGAAAAAGAGAAAGAAAGAAGGAAAGAGATGGAAAACGAGGAGGGAGATACCTACACGCGTGCGTACACGCAAGAAAGTGGCGTAAAATACGCAGGCGAGGCACGAGTTTTTGCCGACACTGGCCGGCCGATCGCCTTTGAATTTTAAGTATTGCCCGGTTTGCGAGACCGACCAGAGCACTGTTGAAACTCCAACGATACGAGAGAATTCGTTGACAATTGAATATCAATATTTCCTTATTATTAAAAAAAAAAAATATCTATTTATATCGTAAATTTATTAACGATGCGATTATATAAAATTATTAATTGAGTAATTACCAATATCTAAAGGAAAAATTAAGTAGAACCGATAATTATTTATCAATTATAGTCTTTTTTCAAAGGATATTGACTTTAAACAGTTTAAACTAGAATAGTTAGCATTTGTGTACTAGCATAAATTATAATTTTAAACAAAAGATAATACTAAATTCGTGGCAATGGATGATTCTAGACGATAAGGGTTTTGTTTTTTATTTAAAGTTAGAGTTTATATTGATAACATATAAATTAATTATTAGTGTAAAGATAAATAACTAAAGTATGCTTTTGAATAAAAACTTATTAATTGATAAATAAATTAATTATTAATTGACAGTTCCATTTAACTTTTTCCTAAGTGTCCGCAATTTCTTCATTCTTCCCTATCAAATGGTATATGTATTAATTGCCAAATTAAAAAAAAAATATGTGAGCAGATACAAATGAAGTAGCGCTACGAACTGTTTCAATCTATATAATATTGCGTCGTATGTCAATACACATCGATATCTCGGTTGAAACGATTCGAGGAGAGACGAGAGGGATATCCACAGTTGCGGAGATAGTCGACATTGTGCACCTCATTTCTGGTCCTCCACTTGTTGCACATCCCTCTCTTCGCAACCCTCTGCCTCTTTGAGGAAACCGCCTGTAAGAGAGCAGGGCAGGGCAACGCACATACCAGGTACCTCACTGTGGGGCCCGCGGGCCGCGCCATGGCAAAAGTGACAAGGCCCCGGCAATTATAACGGATGGCGCAAAAAAATGGCGCCGCGGTACGGATGGCCGATTGGAGCCGACCGGCCGAGTCGGCTACCGTTTCTCTGCCCCTTTCGTCAGGAACTTTTAAGTGTGTATATCAGGGAACCCCGATGATTAATCGGCGGGTATCGTGGCAAATCTCGACCACGTTGGTTCCAAGTCTCCCGAATTTGTTCGAAGGCGACACTCGAGATGAAGCGACAATATATGTATATACAGATTTATATGTGTATGTGTTATTGATAATAAATAGTTGGATCGAAAGTACACACCACACTTCAAGATGAATATATGTACATGCGTATATATATTTATATACGTGTGTATTGTAATTAATAAATGCATAAACCAATGTTGTATTGCATCTGCCACATTTTTCACATAAACATTACACTGTATTATCCTTATCAAGGATCATTTTGATGCATTAATATTATATTTAAGAGACAGCACATTTTGTTAAATTTTTTCTTTTAATATGAATTTTTACACAAATATCTTTGCGTAAATATACATATAGCTGTTTATTTATCATTTAATTCTCTCAGCCTTTGTAAATGTATAAATTTAAATGCAAACATATAAAAATCTTTACTTGAAACAAACTATATCAATTCAATAGCCGGGGCAGCAGAGAGAAAGAGAGAGAGAAAAACAGCTGGTAATATTTATAGTGAATACAAAAAGTATTCATACAGAGAAAATATTTTTTAAAAAAACTTTATTTTTAAAAATTAAATATTATCCAGCGAGAAATAAGTCATCGAATTGATGTCAAATCGATATCGATGATTTCAATACCAATTCGACGTCGATTCGAAGTTTAATTGATGATCATTTCTTGCTAGATAATTCACAATTTATTCATAAAGTATAAAATAGACTGTATGTTTCTTAAAATTATATATACCAAAAAGATATGTATTAATAAAAAGATATGTATTATAGAAAATATATCATCTGAAAAATAAGCGAAAATTAAAAGTTCCATTGTTTGGATGCTCAAAAAGTATTCGTACAGTCGAGAAATTTAGCTTATAATGTCAGAAATACGAAGCTCATTTGAATATGTTAGAATACATTCATTGTATAAAATTGCTAATTAATATTTATTTTCTACAAATAAGACATTTTTTAGAAAAAATTTCCTTGTACTTTTTGCTCTCACTGTAATTACTAATATTAACAGACTGGCATAGGAATTATAGAATACGATATATTAAACTGATATTTTTTTAATGTAATCGATTCTGGAGAAGCACCGACAGTAATTGCGATTTTTCTTTTAACAAGCAAGGACTCATTCCGGCACAAGATAATAATTATTCCCGCCGGGCGGAATCGAGCTTTAAACGCGAGTATGATTAATTCTGATTCTTATAGAGATTCCGCGCTATTGTAGTCGGGAATACGCGGCCGCGATGTAATCGTAATGAAGTGAAACGTAGCTTCGTCCGTGCTCTTATCATTAAATCACAAACGCGAATCAATTATGCGTGGTAAAAATATCCGAAATTGAAGCCTGTAATCAGCGCGAGCAGTACGGGGGTCGGTTGTAAAACCTCTAATTACAAAATTGCCATTTAACCGTCCATGCCGATCGACACGATCTTCGGCTTCCGTGGAATTTCGAAGATGCTATAAATAATCGGGGATAACCTTGCAACAGAGGGTAGTAATTTAATCCTGACATTGTGCGTGATTAATTACTTACGTAGCAAAATAAAGAATATCATAAATAAGAATATTAAACGCGGACTTTTAATAATCTTTTAATATATACTATATACATTATAATATCCATATTATAATGTCTATAAATATTTTTATTTTACAAAAATTACATATTATAAAAATATTAAAAGAGACGTGCATGACTTTAATTGAATTGTAATAAAAATATTATATCTAATTTAGAGATACAAATAAAAATATTATGATAAATCAATAGTCTTTTATGTCGAAATTTTTATGTAGAAGATTTTAAAAAATTAAAATTTATTAAAATCTAATTTCTTTAAGAAATCATAATTAAAATTTATGTAGCAAGGCGAAATATGTCAGCAATTATCCTGAAAATGTTCTGATTTCATTTTGTCATACTTTTTTTATTTATATCTCCCAATTTATCGGTATTATCGTATTTTTTTTTATTACATATATTTCCCTTAATGCTATTTTTTTTTATATCAAAGATATAAGTACCAACGCGCTACATATAAATTATATATGTATATGCATATTTTATACATGTATATACATATATTTCTATAAAATTTAATTACGTTTGTAGCGTACACAGTAACACTTATTTTTTCTTCATCTCTAACATAATTGAACATCACATATCTTTCATTGTCAGTATTTATAATATACATTGCAAGAAATATATAAGTAATATGGATTTTTTTGAAAATATTGATAGAGTGAGAATCAGAGAAATATTTATAGAAGAAACACACAATTAGTGATTCGGAAAATTTGAAATATCTATGTGAATCATAATCCAGAATCGGAAACAAAATTGAATGAACAATTTTCTGAATTCGAGAATTTTTCTTATTAATTATTACTTAATTATGATACATATACGTACAAAAAAGTATTGGCCCAAAACTGGAATGCGTCTACTATCGTTGTTAGTTAAATTCACGCGCCTACTCTCCAAAGTTTAGCATCACTACGCAGTTTCTAAAAATAACAATCATGTTGTCCACGTTTTTGGATTAACATGCCATCTATCAAGAACGAGACAAGTTACAGTATTTGACTGATAGCTCAAGAATCCGTTAGATGACTCTTACTATACTAAAACGGATTTTCTCTTTGTTCAACTGATGAGATTTTTATTCAAAATTAGTTGCTGCAATTGCATGAAATAATCTCAACTTAATAATTAATAAAAAAGTACAATTTTTATTAATGATAACATTTCTATTAGGTTGTCCTATATCTTGTTTTTCGCACAAACGTTCGTTAAACGTACGAAAAATAAAGATCATGTGCGTATATATTGAATACATAGCTTTAAAAAAGATAAATATTTATTGTTATCATCTTTTTTTATTTCGTTGATTGCATAAGTAAAGTATTCGCGAGTGTAAACGATATTGGAAAGGGAAAAAGGAATGTGACCTTTCGAGTAGAAAGAGAGAAAGAAGGAGAGAGAAAGAGAGAGAAGAATAGAGAGAAACGTTGCACGTAACAAGGACAATCACTAAGCTTGTCAAGAGAGCAACTTTTTTTTTAACCGATTGAATATTTCCCTTCATAAATCATATTACGCAATTATAACTATCGCCGTTTAAAATTTACTTGTCATTGCCGTCGATATGTCACAATCGATACCTGCGCAAGCGTGCACTTGATCAATCGCATGCAAGCAACATGGCGGCTGGCGATAATCGCTTTCGCGCCTTTTCCAGCCTTTTCTCAGCTGTTGACGTCACGACCATCACGTGGATGTCAACAAACGGACCAACTTTTTCAGATTTTATGAAAATATCACGGATCGAGTGTAATAACCGGTAGCGACGTGAAATGCCAAGGTGACATATAATGGAAGAGCGAGTAATAAAACGAACCAAGTCCACGAAGGAATCAGCTATCTCTGACATTGTCTCTTCTATCGGTAAGTTAATCAAAATATAAATCTCTTTCGTATAATTTCTATAACAGTTCGATAGAAAAGATAATGGGAATAGAATGAAGTATTAGAAAGTTCCATTAGAGGAATTTTATAGAAAATGCTTTGTAAATTCGTATTTCTTACCAATAACGTGAAATTATACGGTATTTTGTATATTGATCAAGATATAAACTTCTCATGTGATTCTATGACAATTTGATGGAATGGATAATGGGAATAAAATGAGATAGTAGAAATTTTGATAGTTCATTTAGAGGAATTTTATAAGAAATGTTTAGTAGATAATTTACATTTCTTACTGATAACATGAAATTCTATATGATTTTATATGTTGATTGAGATGTAAATCTCTCTCTCATGTGATTTCTGTGATAATTTGATGGGAAAGATAATATGGAAATAGAACGAAGTACTTAAAAGCTAAAAAGAATTTTATAGGAAATGTCTTTTACAGATAATTGATATTTCTTATTGAAATTCTATGATATGATTTTATATGTTAATATATATAATTGTATTATGTTTTAGATAAAATAACCAACTCTCTTAAATCTATCAGCGAAAGCTACAGCAACATTCTGAGTGTGAACACTGCTGTTGTTACATATTTGTACAACACTGAGAAACGTGAAAAGGCGATAAATCAAAGTATAGAAGATACAGATTCTACATTAATAAGAGAGGAACAATAATTGAGTATAACAAATTGTATTTGTCTAATTGTAATTAATATTAAGAATTTTATAATATGACTTAGATGTAAATACTAATTAACGGATATATGTGATGTAATTGATAATCCTGCATGTGTGTCATGTTATAAATTTATTGCTATGTCACGTATGATAAAGGCAAATAACAAGTAGTTTGTTCATCATCGTAACTATAAATACAAAAAGAAATAACTATGATATAAATAACATTGACAAGATCTTGTGGCGGTCATTTTCTTATTATATCACAATGTCTTGACCTAATTACAATAGTTTAGTACGAAAACACCTTGGAACTAGTAAAGCATGTCATTCTGCGATTTGGAGGTAGAACTATAAGTGTAATATTTCTTTTACCACTAAATCGCAGAAGAAATTGCTCATTGCTATATATATATTACAAACATGAGCAACAAAAAAGTTACAGAATTTGCAACATATTTTGCATCATGATAAAATTATGAATTAAATTGTAAAATTGAGAGAATTCAACTCTTTCAGTTCCCAGGTATGGAATTATTGAGGCGTCTCGTCTTTATGTAATAAAGAAATTAACAAATTAACTATAGATCGTTTTAGCAGTCTTGTAATCCGTCGCATGTCCGTCTGAATTCTTGTCACTTGTATTCGGGATCCTCCTTGTGTTTTCTTCTGGGATCCGATGGGTCCAAAGGGATTATCACCGTCCGCCTATTTTCTGGTTGACGGTCAGTGAAATTGTAATTCATCGGCGCAAATCTGTTTACTGGTCTAGACAACATTATCGGTCCACATCTGGAACATTTGCGATTATGTGCCAATAATTATGGAGCATGTACTGTAATATCATGCCAAATTGCGTGTGAATTGAAAATGTAGGACACTTCACAATCTCTCAATCTTAGGTTTCCATAAAGTTCTGCTGATTTTTGTCGTTATTTTTTTTTTAATTTATTTAAAGCAGCAATCCTTGTTAGTAGAATACAAATATATTCCGCCTCCAAAATGTTACATTATTATAGATATTAGTTAAGTGTATATACATCATATATGAAGTATACACGTTTTAGTTTAACCTTACATTACTCGCGTGGTTTTTATAATTACTCGTCTGATGATGTAGTACATGTTACATATATTATATAGTATATTATATAATTTGAGTAAAATTTTTCTTGAAGAGAACGTTCTAGAATATAGCCTTAATTGCGAAATAATTTTTTAATTTAATAATAAAAATAATAAATTAATAAATATAATGTATATAAATATCATTTATAAATTAACGAATTTATAAAGCTGGAATGTTCTAGACATCCCTCGCGAGTAATGAAGAGTTAATAAATAAGCGATGAGGAAATTTTTGACGAGAAGCAAGTTTCATTGTCACCCAAAATTTCTAGCGAACTATGTCGCTCAGTGAAGGACATCGGCGTGAAGAAATCGGAAAGTGCTTTCACTCATGTGCAAATACCTATACGTACAAGATAGAAGGAAAGCGCGAATATGGGACATGGAACGCATACATAGAATCGCGTGTGAAGAATAAAAGGAGAAAAGAGTAAAACTTGCTAAAATTCGTGCAGAAAACGAAGTGGGCGATCGAAATAAATTCAGAATATTTAAGTGGAGAAATAAATCGATGCGTTCGCAAATCGTGATTAAGTAATGGCGTGCAATGAAAAAAAGAGAGCGCCTTATTCCTTTAGCAGATAGTCCCCTATTCTGTTGGCTCACACCTGCACGTGTTGGGGTTGAAGTAGTATCCGGTGGTGCATGGCTCAACGGTCCTACACGTGCAAACGCAGAGAGTCGAGTTCCAGATCTTCGTGTCGTTCTTACGACACTTCTCCTCCTCGTCCACATTGTTGCAGGCGCACTTGCAGTTGTGCGGCTCGTAATGTTGCTTATCGTTGCAGTGCTGAAAGCAATAAGGAAAAACGACGTGGCATGAATCATCGACGAAAAAGAGTGTCAACACTTATTATGCTCGTACAAACACGGTTGAATTTCGCTTGTCCTCCGCATTGACACACTTTGCGTTCGCGCACGTTGCAAGGAAGCGACAATTGTAGCAATCAGCGAAATTGGTATATTGAGAAATGACCTTAGCTTCTCAGACAACCAAAGATCAAAATCAAGATGTAAGACATTTTCGCAAAAATGTCTTTAAGCTGTCTCTCAGAAAAATTTTTATATGGAAAAGTATAAATTTTCAATTCCAGTCACTTTTTTGCAGAGACTATACATTTAATGCGTTAATCTGAATTATTCCTGACAATACAAAGTTTAAAGGACATAAGACGTCTTATGAGATACCCAAAAGGCTCATTATGTCCTGCTTTCAAACTTTTGTGTCCATTTCACTTCATAATTCAGATTAAAGATATGTTAGGTGTATAATCTCTACAAAATAGAATTAGAAATGTATGCTTTTCATATAAAAAAGAATCTCAGCAAATAAACTGACGATAACTAATGTTATGTATATAATATATGTATATATCTTGTTATTGAAATAATTTTTGATCCAGGTTTTGATCGCCGTTGAACTTCTTGTATTATTTTCTCAAATATAATAAAAAAACAAATACATATAGAAAAACCTATAATTTTAATTTTCATTTTGTTAAAAAATACTTGTAATAAATCTTTAAATATTACTATGTACTATGTACATTGAACACCGCGCAAATGATCTTAACTAACTAAATGAGCTTACTAACACATCTTTTAGAGAGAATCTTAGAATTTTCTTTGTATCTTTTGCATCTCTTTGCATCTGCGATTACATAATATCTCAAGTAATTGACACGTCAATTTCGCAATACATCCGAAGGACGAGCGGGAATGCAGATGCAGGACACGTGGAAAATGTGATTCATGCCTTTGAAATGTCTATTACTTCTAATTTTCGTGTATTGTTGAGATGCTTGGAATGTTCCTTTCAGCCGATCGGCTGACGTAAATTGTTTTCAAGTGATGCGACACATATGTGCATGCATAAATCGTGAGAAACAATGAACGATGAGACGATGTGTGAGGTGTGAAACTCATAAATGACACGGCCCGGTTAAGCAGCAGGGCATTAATTAACCATCAATTATTGGTCGCCATCAAATTACCTCTTCCTTAATTTTGCAGTCGCACTTGCATTTAGTGTGCTCCTCCACCGGCACAATTTGTCGTCCTCGGTAATCCATATCGACCAACGACGTCACGATCACCTTAAGACAATGTAAAAGAAAACATGTTCAATTATTGCTCTTTCTCGAGTTGCTCATAATATTATACACATTTTCGTGCTCTTTAACTCAATAACGATCGATTACTTCGAAGTTCCGCATCTCCGTAGCTGTTGGCTGACACGAGAGCAGAGGACTAATGCAACAACCGCCGCATCTTTTGATCCGTGTGCAGAGTGGGAAGACGAAGGTCGAAGGATCGTCGTCCAGTTTTAGGGAAACGAGTTGCAGCTCGGGCATGCACTTGGCTGGCACCGGTATCAATGCGTTCGATCGTTCCTCGCCTCCGAATCTACCTGGAAAGAATCCTTGTTTGTATCTTAAACGTAATCGAACAAAACTTTCCTTTTTACGCTGCCGAAGATATGACATAGTCTCCAGTTTACGTAATATAAAATATGTTTCATAATACGTAGAAAAACTTTAACAAGCTGTTGTATTAATTTCCAATTAGATAATATTAATTATCAAATGTCTTGTAAATGTCTTCAAAGAACGATTTTTTCTGAAGTATGTAAAAATGTATCTAGAAATCTGTGAAAATAATTTTATTAAATTATCAAAATAATTTATATAGAACACAAACCTAATGTACAATATGCACTTTGCTTCCTGTTTCTTGCTTTTATTGCTTTTTACCTTTTGTCTTTTTATCTCGTATCTTGTTTCTTTATTCTCTGTCTCTCGAGATAAAGTTGACGAACTTTGGAAGAGACAAGAAATGATGTAAAATGCAACAAAAAAAAAGGTAAAAAGTAAAATATAGAAAATATTTACATAATTACATAATTATTTTGATGATTCAAAAAATAATTTTTAGACCTGTATCAACTAAATTTTTAGAAAAATTGTCCTTTCCATTATATTTATTATTGTAAGAGTTAATGTAGCATTTAATTTATCAGTTGTAACAAGTTATTAAAACAGTATTAGCTTGTTAAAAAATAAAAAAATCATATATATATATATATAATATATATATAATCAGAAGTTTATTATTAAATTGATATTAGATTTTTTTTAGATAGTGATTATTTTTTAAAATAGGATTATTTTTTTTTAAGGCGGAAAATGGTCAATGAACATGCCGAAGCAATTTCAATTGCCAACTATTATTTCATGTTGGTCGATGGAATGGTTCCCGGTTTTAAGGATCATCTTGCAGAGCATGTAGTACTCAAATGGTTCGGGAACGTGATTACAGGAAGAAAAAAAGTAACTACCTTCTTGCTGTCCAATAAAACGGAATCTGTACACAAATTTCCTGATATTATGCCAATTTCCGGTATCTCTCACAAAAGCAAACAATCAAATTGGTGAGGACATTGAGATTAATAATAAGTTACGCATATATTCACAATTGCATTTATCAGTTATGTTGTCCAAGTTTATGAAATCGACATCTTTTTCAAAAAATTAGTTAATACATGTTATTATTAGATACGTGCACAATAAATGCATTTGAGGAGGTTTAATGGAAATGGAAGTTTATTAGATGGTCTCACGCACATACCTATATTTTTTGCGTAGGAAGATAAAACAGTCCTTAGAACAGAATGATAACTGCGGAACCTACATGAGCAATTATTTACCGGCTTGTTCTTCACACGAGAGTGAAATGTCAACGACCCACGTAAAAGATTGTGATGACCAGAAAAGCAATGCGAACGATGCAACTTCCATAGATAAAGCAGCTTCTAACGAATTTCAAGATAAAAAAGGAAAAGAAAAACTGAAAACTTTTACAGATTGTAAGGATATGAATACCAATATCGACATGCATCAAAACAAATTTAGTGCAATCGCCGAGATGGATGACCAGAGTTATGATCTTAATAGGGACGATCTCTATAATCTTTTCAAGCCCGAGATTACGTCTCAGCCTGTCGTCGGCAAGAACATTAATAGGATAAAATTGAAAGAGGAAATGGCACCAACCGTCAGAGCCATCAACAGAGAGCTTGATCAAGAAGATGGACCTGTTACTGCTGATGCTAACACGACTAACAATAAGTACCTGGAAGCGAATGGAGAAATAAAATTTATACGAATAAATACACAAACAGGTAGAAATAAATTTAATTAAAAACAGTTATCAGATGGATATATATATATAATATTTTATTATTATTCAGACATTGTTCTCTAGAATATTTTAAATTAAATTTTATATAAAAAGATATAAATTACATATAAATGAAATTACAGAAATAATTTTTATATATTTTATCAATAATATTTTATAAATATTAGAAATGTTAAATTATATTTTTTAGATTCTCTGTATTGGTCAAATTCATTTATTAAAAAGAAAACCTGGATACGAAAATGCAAATTGCAGATCACGTATTCGCTTCTAAATGATGTCGATTCGTCGAAGGTTGCTAGAAAATGCCATAATGCACAGAAAAATAATTGTGTTGCTCGTAAATCGGAACTTTCGACTAAGGTATGTCACGATACAGATAAAACACAGGAAAGTAAATTACCAAATTTAGAAGAGGCGATACAAATTAGCAATACATTAATACCAGATGTAAATCATTTCGGTGGTTATCTACAACCTTTAAACTTCTTAGAGGATCGCGAAGATTTTTTAAAACTTTTCGAGGCTGAAATAGCGAAAAAAAATTCCAATACGCATTTTTGCTTGCGTTACGACAACAATAAATTGATTTCCAATTGTCCAAATAAAAAACCATTTAATGTCATGTATCAAATTCATGAGATCGTTTATTCGAAGGCCCAAGTTAATACACCTAATACCCAAGAAATAACAATATAAAACTATATATATCGCACAAGCTTGTATGACGATGATTGCACGTATTTGCTCTTGGTTAGATAATATCGTCAGGGGAATCAATTGACCGGATATGCGAATTTTCATTTGTAACGGAAAGGCTGTTTCCTGTGTTAATCGAAAAATCATTTAACTTTTGCAAGGTTGAAAAAATATATTTTAAGCATGCAATATTTATTTTATAATTACATAGTATTTCATAGTAATGCACTGAAAGTATCAAAATATATATATGATTTAAATTATGAGATGATCTCAGTTTACAATGATAATTACGCGTTTGTAAACGGAATAATCAAAAGATCTACTACGCTGCAATTTAATTTATGTTTCTGCTGATAAAATACTGATCTTATCGCGATGTCTTTATTTGTATCTTTATGAACTATTAATTTCCTTATGATAATGGTATATAATTGTAATGCACTTAATAATTAATATGTAATTGTACGAGATGTTAGAACATGATGAATAACATTAATATATTTCCAAATGTTTGTTTGGCGTCATATTTTCTAATTTTTTATAATTATAATAATAAGATTTTTATCCTTGATGTTTCTAATGAATAAAGCGAAATTTGCAACGAATAAATCTGGTTTACTTCTTCTTATTTACGAGTTTTCCTTAAGATTTATTATTTACCATTATTTATATTTGCATTTAGAGAAGAAAGATAACGCAATAACGAATTATACTTACTGGCAAACGTGATACCCTTTTTGTTCTGTGGAACACCGTGAAGAAGCTGCAGAAATTCCTCCAATGAGTCTATCGTATTTAATCTAACCGCTAAATCGAGTGGTACCTAAAAAATAAATTATTACATATATATTATATATATTGCTAGAAGATAAGATTAGATTATCTTCTAAACACGGAACACACTGGGTCATAAATTGCAGCTTATATGATCAAGCAGAATATCCGAGATTGTGGTCGAAAGCTATCGAAAATAAAAGTTGTTTCAAAATACTTTGGTAAGTTAACAAGTTTGTGGTTAACAAGTTTCTTGTATTCTTTCCGTATGCTGTATTTCGAAAAATTTAATGTTCAAGAGTTTTAGTAATAATATTCATATGCGATAATATTCATATAAGTTCTTATAAAAATCTAAACTTATATTGGTGCATATGAATATTATCGCATATGAATGTTATCTTATATTATAAGAACCTAAACTTATATTGTTGCGATTTACATTTATAAAATTGAAGAAATAGTAACTAATAAGTAAAAAGGAAAAAGGGTTACGAGCCTAAAACATAAATTGACAAATTGTATGAGTAGTTAAAAAAATTTTTTTGAAATAAAACTATGTCATAAATTAAAAACGTAAAATATAATTTGACAATCAGAAGGTGAACAAAACAAACGTTTCGATCCTAGTTGGATCATTTTCAATGTGACAATAAGTTAGTGTGACAAAATAAATTAACAACGGTAATTAACGATAGAGTTATAACGTAGATAAAAAACATAAGAGATCAAGTAAAATTCGCATTCGGACGCAAATTAACTATAAAGCTCGCTCCAAATTGAGAGGAAATCAAACGATTATAGTTGACAAAAATGTGCTCCTCCGAACCGTATGTGTGTATAAGGACGAACATGTTTCTGTTAGCAAGTATAAATTGTAATAATAAATTAACGGTAGAAGTAAATAAAAATAATAAGAAAAGTACGAATCGAGTCGCAAACAGTAAAACGGAAAGTACTAATAAGTCGCAAATAATAAGTCAAAATTAAAAAAAAGATTAAGTAACTAATAACTTTGTTGAAGTATCTAAAAATTTAATTATATATACAGATTTCAAAATAATGTTGTTGGACTGAAAAAGTAATCATATAAAATGCTTAAGTTAGTTGCAAAACTATTCTTTCCATATAGTTGCTTTATTAATTCGCGGTCAGCAATTTTCCTCTTAATTGTATTGGAAAACTTATTATGCGCAAGTCAAGATAAATATAAAATAGAATTTTCTTAAGAACTCATTTCAATTCGAACGTGCAAGATTAAAAAAAAATAAAGAAACGATAAATCTTAATGGATCATACCTGGCTAGAATAGTCACGATTATTTCTTTCTTAAATAATATATAATCTCATAAATATTGAGTAAAAGAATAAATAAAAAATTAAATTCCTCGGGATATTCCCGCAGATTGTGAGTCATCCTGTTCGATCGCAGATATTCGAGATATGCATGTGTGACTATGAAGTAAATGATAAAAGAAATATCGGTCAATGATCAATATTACACAAAAATTCAAATTTTAAGACAAAAATAGATTTACTTCTTTCCATTAAGCTTTTTTTTTCACATCAATTGTATTTAGATCAAATTTTAATGTATCTTTCTGTTTCGTAATCAATAATGATCTCGATTTGTTGCAATCTATAACATGTTGTACATAAAATATGTTAGTTTATATATATATAAAGTTTAATTTTGGAATAGATTTTTAACTGTTCTCTTTGCTAAAGAATTATTAGTAATATATGTGTGGAAGAGAAATCGATATCAGATCAATAAGTATCTGTAACTAAAGGTACATACATATATCAGCTTTGGGACTTTGCATAGTTATTCTATTAGTCATTGATAATCACTACTTTAAATGGATGTTAAATCGCTTTTAGCTTCGATATCACGATTCAAACAGGTTTTTAGAACGAACCGCTATACTACAGTTATCAAAAAGAAGCATATAACTTATACAAATTTAACGAGCACTTTGAGACTTGGGAAACTTTAGTATCTATTAACCTATTATTAGCAGCAAATATTTCACGTATTCATTAAATCGGATATGCACATTCCGATTTAAAAGTATAATTCGCAAAGTTTAATTCGTCCAAAAGAATAATTTTTGTCGAAATTTAGTCGAAATTTAAATTTGTGAACAGAAACAAGATCGATTCAAAATTAATTTAAGAATGTACTCTGGAATTTTAACGCGAATTTCATGAAATACGTTCACGTTTTACGACCGCATTCACATCTCACTTTCATTGATAAAGCACGCATTTAGCATATACATGTACATATAGTTTACGTTACATACACTACAATAGAATCACAGAAACAAATACGCGCTATTTTGATAAAAGAAGTGTGAATGCAGACCTTATTATTACCTGTGGAAAACGAGTGCTCTCTGCAATGAATGCATAATGCCTCCGGAAGTAACGTTGCTACTTTAATCTCGAAGCAAATACAATTTCTTCATGCGAGCGTAAACGCAGTCTCGTGGGATTTGGGAAACAGGTTGGACGCATTTTTGCATTATCGAAAATTTCGCGTCCCGCAGACACACTGTGTCTGTATTTCCTGGAAATGACAATCCTCGGCGCAAGAAACTGCGGCATTCTGAACCCGTTCTGGTTTCTCGACTTCCAAGCACGTTTCGCTTGAGATGTTCAAATCTGCACACGCTTGTAATCTCGTAGAACACTACTCGCGAGAAACGAACGACTTTGCGATAACGATCGCGAATGATTGCAGTTTTTTTCTTTAATGAAAGGTGTCTCTCGACTCGTCGGAATAACCCTGGTTTGCGACCTTGCCAGGAAGCAAGGCTGTGCCTTCAGTTTAACGCTTAGGCGCCGTTATGTTTTATTAATCGCAACCTCGATTTCGTTACTGACTTAGCGAGGTACCGTGGTGACGATACTGTAATTATCGTATAAAGCCTAACAACTATTGATATAACGATTTCTTCCAAGTCAGCAATTAGTTTACTCAGTTGCACGTGGATTTACTACTCCACGCTGTATTTTTTTACGCTTAGAAAGAGAGAGAGAGAGGGGGGAGAAAGACAGGCAGAGAAAAAGGTTCTTTTTCGAAGAATTTTCTGTATAAATTGGTGTACACTGATGTAATAAGTTGTGAAATAAAACAAATATAGAACAACTTCCAATGTAATTAATAGACCTAAAGATTTCTCGGATCGGACTATTACCTACATTTTTTATCGCGATTTAGTAGTAATGCGCGCATTGAAAGAAAATAACAGCAGACTTCCGAAGCTAATCGATCCGGTATTTGCACAATTGCAAAATGATGTACGATACGTTTTATATCGTGCCAAGAATCACAAGTCGTATAGCACACTGCGATTATTTCATCATAGATATCCTCGACATTGACAAATTCAACCTTCGATATGACTTCGGTCTCACTGCGGAAAGTGAGTCTTGGAAACGAAAGTGTTACAACACGCGTCATTGATTTACGCGCGTTATTGTTGAAGATTAAGTAAAAAGAGAATTAGGAAGATTATAATAAGACATCATCTGTCAAGAGAATCAAAAGATATATGATATTCTGCTAATAAATATATTATATCAAACTATACGCAAAATTTTATTAAAGTATCTAAAAAATTAACTTGATGTAGATTTCAAAATAACTATTGAACCATCAAAATAATTATATAGGAAATTCAAGCATAATGAGCAATGCTGTAAACAATTTTTACATTTTATCAACCGCTTGAGCTAACACAATTATTTTGATGGTCTAACAAAATAATTTTCACACAGATCTATATACTTGAGAAAAATATCCTGATTAAATGAAGAAAAAAGTCAACAAGAACGACGTTTTAGTGAAGTCAAATAGAATATCTATTTGTCATAACTAAAAATCCTCTGTTTGGTCCCATCAAAATGCTACTCTTGAGTCCTTTTGTTGGTTTAATTTGATTTCATTTGGCAAAATTGTTGGATACTTTAGCGTGAAACCGTTCTTTTCGTATAGAAATCAACGTTTGTCTTTTCGATCTTTCGCTCCGAAAAAAAAAAAACAAAAAAAAACCTGACATTATTCAAATCAATTTAAATATCAAGCAACACCGCGGACTTAATTCAGAGGCGGAGCCAATCTGTACCAATTTACCGTATCGCTGTCATCTGAATCCCCCGCGGGCTCATTATCAAGGGCCCTGTCCCTCGATCTCGAGCCGACTGCTCCAGGGAAGACTATGTGATCGGGATCGTCATGATACTGCGCGTCGACTTGTCCCAGGAGGAATCCGCCGCAGGCAATCGCGAGAACGAGCATCCTCGCGATGAAATGCGGCGGCGACTGGCTGTCAAATGAAGTGCCGATGATCCGCGATTGCATTTCTGACGTCTCGGCTTCGTTCTCCTCACTCCTCACAGGCACAAGGTGTCGACGTCGTCTTTAACTATCACTCGATTGTT